ATTTCACCCTCTCTTTATAATTTATCTAGTGAGTGTTGGTTTTTTATGTCATTATTTTTGTAATGAAATTGAAATGGTTGTGAAATGAAATTTAAATTACTTGAACTCTTGGAGTTTTGTAACTTCAATATTAAATTTTATTTAAAGTGAAACAGAGCTAATTTCTTTGCAGCCATAACAGTCACATTTGGTCATATGAAAACCCGCACACTACTCGTCGGTTTAGCTTTCATAGGAGATTCGGTGTCGATGTATTATGGGCAGGAGTATATGGCGATCGTTTAATGGGCCGCATTTTCTACCTGAAAATAGGAATAGGCCGCGTTACTTTCAATTTTTAGTAGAATTGTTTGAAAACCTTCCCCTTCAGATGCTACGGGATATGTGGTATATGCACAACGGAGATCCGGCCCATTTTGCTCGCGATGTCCGTGTATTTTTAGACGATCAATGTCCCAATCGGTGGATAGGGAGATGAGGGCCTATAATCCTATGGACTTTTGTGTATGGGGTTATATGAAATCTGTCGTGTATCACACCAAGGTAGAGAATGTAGAGCAGTTGCGGAATCGTATCGAAGATCCCGCTGAAGAAATACGTAACAACCCTGGTTTATTCCATCGCATCCGCCGCTCATCTATCTAACGTGTACACTTGTGCATAGATGGTAACGGTAATGTATTTGAACATTTGATTACAGCAAAAAATTAACATTATAATGTTAATAAAAACTGATTTTTGGCCTTCAGACCTAATCGAGGTTCTTGCTGGGCAACAATAACAATTTAATGTGTTGATTGCATAATTATAAAAAATAATTTATAGCATTTTAAATTATTATTTGCTGATGTGAGCAAACCGTTTATTTATTGTCTTTATATGAGCGAAAATATATAAATATGGCAACGTTGCATTTAGGGTGCGTTGTTCATATTGTAGCCGTGCTCAAATTCTAAATAACCGACGACGTCAGCCGGTCAGTAACAGCCTGAAAAGGGGGTTAAATAATGATTTGAAAATATTTTTTTTCTGCTTAAATATGCATTTAATTTTTTTTTTAATCACGCCATCGTATTATACTCATTTTTCTCTATCTGCTCTTAAAATTAATGACATTATGACTGAATCACCCTGTATAGTTCGGATTATAAAGTCAGACTACGTAATAAAAAGTAACCGCTAAAAACGTAATTCCCCGGCAGTGTCGGGGAAACCCTTTCGAACTTACCTCTTTAAGCCTGTGTTTTAATTAGTTCTGATTAAAGATTATACTGTATATTTTCGGTCATATCTTCATATTATGCTGAACGATTTGAATAAAATTTATTACAGGGTATTCACATAATTAGATCTTTTATTGAATACAATATTAACCTCGTGGCATTAATCAGTGATGTGCTATTTTTCCAAGAAAAAAAATACGTCACTGGCGGTTTTTTGTAGAAATGATGATAAATTCAGGTACTGTTACATTAAATGAATGAAGAACTATTCTTGGTATTTTTTAGTAGTAGCAGCTGTTTAGGAGATAATAAGATAACTTATTTGGCAACTATAATGCGCAAATTTAGTCTGCCTACTCATATTTGTTTAACATCCATCAGCAAAAATTGAATCCTTTGTCGAGTAAGCTTTGTTATTCGTAGAAACGTTACTTTGTATCTCATACTAAATAATGTTCTTAAAAGAATGTTTTTATAGGCCAGGAAAAAGAGCTGGGAAATGACCATTTCGCGACTTTTAGTTTCGGCAAGTTGAATTTATCACTATAGATGCTAAATTTTATATACAATAACATATTAGTTTGCACAGTCATAAAAATGGGGGGAAAATTGTTTACAGAGTGGTTAATTGTATAATTTTTACTTAAATCACGTTGTTTTTCAACGAATCTTGATTTTTTTTTAACTTAAAACTCTTTTCATAAGTTTTCCAAATATGTAATAATATGTAACTATATCACGCGTGTGCGTCATATATTTCATTTTGCAACTAAGGCTAAAAAATTTTAAAAAAATTATAGATTTCAATGTATTATGAAATCTACCATGAAAAAAATCAGTGCGATTGTGGAAGATGCTCTAATAATTAGTTAATTTGTTTATAAGGCCATAACTTATAAACTATTCAACTTACCGATTCCAGATATCGTGAGAGTTATTAGACACTGATAAAGAATGAGAGGATGCGATGCCAAAACGTTCGGGTAATAATAACAAAGTTTATAAATGTCTTAATTCAAAAATCATAAATAAATTTCTTCTGTTGATCTTTGATCTAGTCAATATTTTTTGACGCTCGAGGGCTTGTTTTGTAGGTCTTTTGAAGACGAAAAAAAAGTACTTTACTGTTTTCTCGTGGAAATGAATGGAAAAAGTTATAAGCGAAAAACGTGAATTTACGTAAAAATTATACAATTAACCACCTTTTAAACAATCTTCTCCCCATTTTTATGACTGTGGAAACTAATGTGTTATTGTATATAATATTTAGCATCTATAGTGATAAATTTAGCTTGCCGAAACAAAAAGTCGCGTCCAACTCTATATTTCCTGGCCTACTTAGGAGAGTTTAGAAAATAAACAAAAATCTTCTCAATAATGATTAAAAGTCACATTCATATGTTTTCGAAGAAAAAAGCTGTATAAGTTTAAAGAGCGACTGAAAAAAAGTCTAATTTTTCGCCCCTTTGTGAGACCTCGTAAATTTACTCCAAATGTGTGCCAAAAGATAGTCTATGATGAGACTTGAATCGTCTATAAGTTTTAGCTTGAGGCTACATTTTGTTTTCGAGTTTCGGTTGATTAAAGTTGTCATTTTTACATAGATTGTTGGATCGAGGTTACACCGCTAAAAAAAAATCGCTTGTACTTCACATGTGGCATATGTATTCCGAAGTACTTTTTCGCGCTGAGCACGAATTTGCTATTAGAATTGCTTCATGACCCTTCGGTCTTCATGAAATGACTGAAAAGCTTCAGAAAAATGAAGAATTTCGAAGATAGGTTAGGAATTTGTGATTAATACACATTTTTTTTTCATGGTTTTGTTATTAATCCCTCAATTGAGCTTGAATCTGACGTGATACAGGTCAACCAACTACTGAATTGAAATTAGAGACTTACATACTTCCTTCAAATTGGCTCATATAACATAATAAACTAACAATCCAAGATTAATTCTTTTACTTCCAAATGACTTGTAGTCATAGAGATTAACAAACCTTTGATTTTAAATCAATGATTTCGTCAACCTTTCTGGGAAAGGTTTCTGAAAACCTTTCCCAGAATCTGAAGTCATAGAGATTAACGAACCTTTGATTTTAATCAGCGACTTTGAAAACCCTATAACAATCCATATAAAAATGACAACTTTAATCAACCGTAAACTTGAAAACAAAATGCAGCCTCAAGCTAAAACTTATAGACGATTCAAGTCTCATCATAGACTATCTTTTGGCACACATTTGGAGTAAATTTATGAGGTCTCACAAAGGGGCAAACATTTCGGTTGCTCTTTAGGAAATAGAAGAGGATATTATACATTTGCAATTAGAATTTTTAACCTATAACATTAATTATTCTAATAATAATTTTAGGCACTTTAAAATCTTTGGCACCACATCAACGAGTAAATCATTTCCCAAGATCTTATGAATTAACCAGAAAAGATCGACTTTATAAGAACATCGAACGTATGCAACATCTTAAAGGCTTCAAAAATTTTGATTTTATTCCCCAAACGTTTGTTATGCCAGTGGAGTACAGAGACTTGTGTACAAGCCACAATAGAATTAAAGGACCATGGATTGTAAAACCTGTTGCTTCAAGTAGAGGCAGAGGTGAGGATATTTTTTTGGTGTTATGCATTTATTTTTTCATAAAAAAATAAGAATGAATTAATGTAAAGGCTGCTGTATATTAACTACGAATGGAAATGACAAAAAGGTATTTAAATATAATGTCAAGAGTAACATTGATAACATCTGAAGGAAAGCAAATCTTTTCACTAGTCCCAACTTCACTTTCAATTCCTGAGTTAATTATATGTCATCAGAATTGATGATATTTATTTTGTATTTCATATTTCCCGAATTTAAACAAAAGCAGTATTTAATTTTTTATCGTATTTCAAAACCCTCAAGGAGAAACCAATCAAATAATAGATTAATTTTTCATTACCAGAGGGAATTATAATTAATATTCTGTGCTATCACAGATTATTCACAATCAGCTCGACGGATTTGAAAATGTTTGGTTCCTGTTCATTGATTGGATACTTCAATCATATGAATGACGGCACATTTCTAAGATTTTTAACCTTTCAACCTAGTTCTTTTTAGGCTATTTATTTAATGGCCAAAATAATTTTGTAAAAATATGCTATATGCATACTCTATACCGTACTTTCACGGGAAAACACTACATAGGTTTGTTCAAACTCGTGCGGCTTCAGCGGTGGGGATGTCGATCTCTGCGTGCGGTGCTGTGGCATACTACGCTTACACCCAGCGCTCCCCACCCTTCCGAATTTACGAACTCAAACGAAGCTAATTCCCTATGTAGCATTGTACAGTAAAAGTGCGGTGTACAGCCTATTTAAGGTAAAATTCAAATTTGTGCAATAGGTCCATTTTGCTCATTTTCACTCAAATTGACAGCATGATGCAGTGTGCCGAGGCATATATATCCTGACAGAAAAAAGTATCCGGAATTCGTCATTTAGAAATTCCGCATAAAGTACATATAAATTTCTTATTTGATTGACAGTTGGTAGCACTGTGCTCTATTCTGACGGGAAGTTTGAGCACAATCTGTGGAGTAATTTGTTTACAGCTGTTAATTTTGTTACTAAAGTGTGACCCGCGATTTTTACTGTGGATATTGATATTGAACAAAGACTTCGCCTAAAATTTTGAGCTACCAACGGAATTTCTCATGCTGAATCATTGAAAATGTTGAGAAAGATGTACGGTAATTCAGTTTTATCGAAAATTCAATCATACAAACACAGTCTAGAAGTAGTTGATGATTTACCATGTTCTGGTCATCCTTCAACGTTTTCAACTGAAGAAAATATGGATAAAATGAAGGAAATGATGCTTGCAAACCATCATTATAGTTTGAGAACTAAACATGTCTCACGAATCAGTTCACACCATTTCAGTTGATGTTTTAGGTATGAAACATGTGGCAGCACTGCTGGTTCCATAAGAGCTGAATTTTCTTCAAAAAAAAAGAGCATTGCAAACATGTTGCTGCAGACTTGCTTGAACAAGCTAACTTGGACTTTACAATCATGTAATGCACTATAAGGGGTGACAAGACATGGGATTATGAGTTTGACATGCAAACTAGCAAATAATCTTTGGAAGGGCACTTTTCTAAAGAGCCAAAGCCAAAAAAATCACGTCAAAGTCGATCAAAAATTATGTTGACCATTTTCTTTCACTATTGTGGTGTTGTCTGTACAGAAGTGCTTTAAGAGAAAAAGTCAACAAAGAATATTATCTGGGTGTTATCAAGCATTTGAGAGAGTATCCGCTGCAAAAGACCAGATTTATGAAGAGACGATTGTTGCATTCTGTACCACAATAGTGCACCACCACACAAAGCGATAATTGTGAATGAATTTTTCACCAAAAACTCATCAAATGTTATCGAGCAGCCACCGTATTCGCGCGATATGGTCCTTGTAACCTTTTTCCTCTTTCCCAAACTCAAATTATCAGTTCATGGAACACGTTTCGAGCCATTAGAAGCCATAAAACAAAAATCGCTGAAGGAGTTGAAGTCCATACCAGAATATGTGTTTAAAAAGTGCTTTGACTACTGGGTTATTTATTGGAAAAAGTGTATTGCTTCAAATGAAGCCTATTTTGCCGGAGAAAAAATAAATTTTGATGATTAATTGGATATAATGCGTTTTATTGATAACTTCCAGATACTTTCTTGACAGGATGTACATGTAGACAAGAGAATTCTGCTTAGCTACTTGATTGAAATATATTTATGATTCGGTCTGGTCTGGTTATATTATAAATTATAATAAAAAACTGCCAATTTATTAAAGATGTCTATTAAAGAAGCAAGCTGCAATTCCCCATTTACATTAATTGCACAACGGCCTCAGTTCACCTTTGTCGTTCTTATTATCGTTACTGTTTTTATTCTAATAAATTGTGCAGCGGCCTTAAATAATTTTGTGTTAAAAAAATTACCCATGTTATTATTTTATTTCTAGTTTCCCTAGCCCAATAGATGTTTGTTCTATTTTCAGGTATATTTATTGTTGAAACACCAAATCAAGTGCCTCAAGAAGAACCTGTCGTCGTGGCCAAATATATTTCAAATCCCCTTTTAGTAGCCGGTCACAAATGTGACTTGAGATTGTATGTTGTTGTTACCAGTATTGATCCTCTATTAGTGTACATTTACGAAGAAGGATTAGTCCGTTTTGCTACTGTAAAATACGACTCTAGTCATAAGCAGCTGTGGAACCCTTGCATGCACCTTTGTAATTATAGTATAAATAAATATCATAGTGACTATGTAAAGTAAGTAGTTTTACCTTGTAGTACATGTTTTAGTATAAATTAACGGAATTTAAAAAGGATATACATTTGTTGAGATATAATTCCAGGAAGACCACTGCATCACTTTCTTGGTATTAACCGCATTCGACACCCGAGGTATTAGAAAGACATTAGCAGAAAGTTTCAAGGCATGCCCGTGCCACGGGAAAGTGTTGCAGTAGTTTTCATAATTTTCTTGAAATTTTATCAACAAATATTGTACAGACTATATTTAACTTTGGATATTTACATTGTGTCCTGATTTATAATTGTATATTATTTCGTGCGTCATACTAGGGTATCTCAGTTATTATTAAAGATAGAAAGTTTTTGCAAAAGTTAGCCACTTTGTTTTAAAGAAGTTTACAAATTAAAACAGATTAAAACAGTTTGTTTCATAGTTTTCGAGTTTTAACAAATGAATATTTTATACAGGGTGTCCTACCAGGAACTGCGTTGATCGATATCTAGGAAAGTACTGCCCCGAAAAATTGAAAAATTTGGCAACATGGCAATGTCCCTGTTTCAGTACATTTTTGTGCAATGAATGAGTTTATATTTTTACACTTTAGTGCACAATACCTCAATATTTTGTAAAATACAACAATGAAATTTCTATATTTATAAGCATAAATAGCACAAATTGAAATCGAAATATTCGGTTGTGATAGCTGGTTAAATTAGGGACTTTTATCATTTGGTCAAATTTGTGCCATCTTTGAATCAACACTCCTGACTGACTACGAATAAATTTTTCTCCGTAGGGGGTGTCTCTAAAAGGTCTGTACAACGCTCTACCAAATATAGTACGTTTCAAAATAAGTCGATTTAACTAAACTTGCCTTAGTCCAAAAATTGATAATAATGGACTACAGGGTGTCAAAATTGAAAAAATAAATAACATCCTGGGGTATTTTGGGATGAGAAATTCGAATTTATCAGCAATTTAGTTGTATATTCTAGAGGACGCCACAAGCGACCATTAGGACACATTTAAACTGCCGAAACTTTTTTGTGCCATGGCGTATTTAACTTTGGGCTGGAGAAATCTTTTCCCCCAACGTTTCTGCTTAAAAAAGGTATACCTTACTAATAACTCCAAAGCCAACCATTTTCAATAAAAAGGCATTAAATTTGTAAATGCATAAAAAATTATTTAAAAGTTATTTCCAACTCCATTGAAAAACATATATTTTAAGGCAGGTCAATAATAATTAGTTATCTTTTAGATTTTTAAATCGGTTACATTGTTTAGATTGTGTTAGAACGATTGTTTTTAGAAAGTATGTTCTTTACTCTGCCAATTCTGTCTGCAGTAAGATTGTTAAATAACCGAAATTTAAAATTGTAATTGCACTGTTTCCTTTCAAGCCATATTTTTTGCTAATAAACGTTTATCAGTGGAGTAGAAAATAACTTTTAAACAAATTTGTTTATGCATTTACAAATTTAATTTTTGCTAAAAACGGTAGGGCCAAAGTGAAATACACCATGGTACAAAATAGTTTTGGCGGTTTAAACGCGTCCTAATGGTCACAAGTGGCGCCCTCTAGAAGATATACATTTGTTTTTAATCAAAGTCGACTCAACCCTTTTTATTTTAATTTGTCCGTTAAACTTAGTAAAAAATAGAGATGGGCACTTTTCGGAAAAGTGTGTTATGGACATGTGTGCTAGACATGTCGATGAAATGTCCGGATATGTCGGGAAAAGTACTTTCGACCTTGAATCTAATAAGGCAAATAAGTGACGTCATGTTTTCACAGGTCATTGCTTGAGGGTACACAAAGCAAAATATTACTTCTATTCTAATGAATATGTTTTGATCCAACCTTTAGACTTTTTTATAAACTGGTTTCTAAGTTTCCCCGGACAGCCAATACACTTATTTAAATGTTTTTCCTGGAATTCTTAAAAATTGTTTTTGATCAGAAGTTACATTTATAATGATTTTAACTCAATTCAGAAAAATATAACCAAACTTTTGATTTTGGCGTCATACTTCATTTTTAAACTATTTGTGTATTAAATTTTTAAATTAAGAATCAACTGATTACTATTTATGAATCGTTAACTTTGCCAAAAATAATAAAATATGGACATATAAAAGAGGTTATATTTTTAAAATGTTAGTTTCAGTTAAACAAATACCAACAAAATTATAAGAAAATGGCTAAATATCTTTAATTTTACATGTACCATCCTCATAAATTTTTTGCAGGAATGCAACAAATAATTCCGCACATCCGCATACAACTTTTCAATCTTGAAAAGTGTCCTCAAGACATGTCCACTTTTCACGACATGTCCGCGGCACATCTCTAGTAAAAACTAAATTCAAATGTTCTTTTATTAAATCCTAAATATGCACATTTTTTATACTATTTCTCAAAATTGCAAATTTGAGCCGGTTGCCTGTTATGATGTTTAGGTATCAATTCTTGAAAAATTGTATTAGTGTATCTGTGTAAAATTGCAAAATTACAAAAAATTAGATAATGAAAAAAACAATTTAGACAAAATATACCAGAAACCTATCATTTTAAAAAATATATAAAAACCTTAAAAATAGTAAAAAAATTAAAAAGTAAAGCCCTATTTGGGGGGTGCTCTGCCCCTTTGGTTTCCAAAGTAACTACCGGCTAATTGAATACATTTAAATTTAATGAGAGTTATAACAAAAAATCGATTTTCAGCTCTCGATATCAAAAGCCAACATTTTTTTATATAAACATAACATTGTTTATTTATGCAAGACCTACCCAAATCCGAGGGATTGTTCACCACTTTCTGGACATCTAGTGTACTCTTACAATAATATTAGTTTAAATATAAATAATGACAATATTTTTAAATAAATGTTAATGCATTGATATTTGAATTTCATAAATTAAATTTCTATTATCACTGTAGTGATAATTTAATATTCGAAATACATTTTTAGATCTGATGACCCGTCAGCAGAAAATGTTGGACACAAGTGGACTTTGAGTGCTTTATTGAGACATCTAAAGGCGGAAGGCAAAGATACGGCATTACTTATGTCACAAATTGAAGATATGGTTATTAAAGCAATTTTGGCAAGTGCCAACTCAATAATATCTGCTTGTAAAATGTTTGTGCCTCATCCATATAATTGTTATGGTAAGACTGTTAAATTTATGAAATATACAGTGTGGCCTAGGTTTTAATCGAGAACTTCACCAGATAACAGAACCATAGGTCAATCAATAGAGCATTAAATCAGTGATTTTGTAACAAAAATATTAGTAGCAAACGAACTGTGCCATCAGATAAAAGACAAGCTGTAGATATGTGCTTATATGTTTCCTACTCCTACCATTAATTAATTTTTTATAAACATTTTTAAGCAAAAAACACATTTTTTTTTTAGTTTTCTGTTTATAAAACCTAAACTAATGAAGCAATCTGAATTTTTAAGTTGTAGAGCTGTGCACAAAAGTAGTGAATTATACAGGGTGTAACTTCAAGTGGGGGTCATATTTACACAGAGGCTATCTTTGACCTTTAGAAACGCGTATCAGTAGTTTATTTTTTGAAATTCCATTGTGAAAACTTAATATTTTTGTTTAATCTTTTTTAATAATTTTCCTGGACAAGCTAGTATGATCTCAAACAACGGCACGTGTTAGTCACAGCTCACGTACAATTGACAACTGTGCTATGCATCGTTGCCAAATCTCGTAATTTAAAAAAATATTAAAGAGCAAATTTCACATCACCCGCTGTAAGGTACTGCTCTTTTAGATAATCCATCTGATATCGTCTTCTTGAAGTAGAATCATTTTCTTCCGACAGAAAGTAGGCTGTAATGAGACTTAAAAACTTGAAAAAGAAAACACTGAAATATTTTTTTTTGCCTCAACACAATTGCCTAGTGCTTGTTCATAAATTAGGTGCATGTCTGTTAAAATATTCGCTGTAGGAATAATACTCAATTATTAGTCTTGTGTACTCAATCAATCAGATAATTTTGTCAAATCTAGTCTATAACACATTATTAACTACATAAAATCGACTGGTGTTTTATTGCAATATTCTGATTTATTATTTCAATGACGTGTTATACAAAAACTTCATTTTTTAGAATACAGCAAATTTTATCGAAACAAATGTAGTTTCTTAAAGAGAAATGACCAAAGTATATAAAAATTGAGTTTTCAGCTTTATAAAATGACACCTGTCAACATTTTGGCCCAACGAGTGTGGTGGCAAGTCCATTCCTGACTTCCCTGACAGTGTATAACATCTACTGTAGTATGGTTTTATGAACCATTATGGCCTACATTAAAATTTCATTAACGTTCAAAAGTTAGAGCAAAAAAGGTAAATCGCTGGGTACCTCTTTGAGGCTCTGTATCTCCGTTAAGGAGCACTTTAGGAAATTTGTTTATGACAAACTTGTGTTATTTTGACTTCCCCTATATACTGCCGCGAGTATGTGATATACTTATCAGACACCCTGTAGACACAAAAAAAGAAAAAGAAATCTAAGAATTATATGAAATATAATGTGATATTAATTTTTTAATTTCAGTAACTTGTATCTCAAAATCAAAGTTTTTATTGTGTACGTTCTAATGAAGCTTGCTTAAAACTATATGATTTGTCACCTGGTGAAATTTATTGATTATACCCTAGCTCCCCCACTAGATTGTTAGTATTTTTACCTATAAATGGGTACTTGAATGAATATTACATTGTATTAAAGCAATGGAAAAGTAAATTTTTCTTTTTTAATATCAAGTAATGCCAAAACAGGAGGAACAGTATTGTACTATTAATAAGTTATTTTTAGAACTATATGGTTTTGATATCCTAATTGACGAACATTTAAAACCCTGGTTACTGGAGATCAACTTATCCCCGTCTCTCAACTGCGAAAGCCCTTTGGATGTCAGATTGAAATCTGCTATGCTGGCCGACCTGCTGACTTTGGTCGGTATTCCTGCTATAGATCCAATTTTGAGGCCCTCTTCTAGTTCTACCCATTGTAAAACAAACCAAAATTTGAATATGAAACTAGGAAATGTGAGTAGTATTTATGATATTATTTAACATATTTTTAGATCGTTCTGGAATTTATAAAAAAATATATAATGTATATTTGTTTCTTAAGCATGTGTTTAATATATGTAGCTTACAGAAGATAGGTATATACATCAGGTAAGATACAGTTCTCATTCAATGATATGAAAAGCTGATTTGCTACTGAGTCTTGGCTTCAAAATTCAGTAGTTGTATGATTGGCAAGAAAAAAGGTATATTTTGGTTTACACATTATTAAAAAAAATATGCTTGAACTGCCACAGTTTTGGATTCTATTCAAATTTGTGAGTATGCAGACATACAGGGTGAATCTTAAATGTGTACAGTTTAATGGATAACACCACTGTAACAACCGAAAAAAGGTGTTTTTTTTACAATTTTTTGGATGGAAGGAAAGGTAATAAGAAAATACTATTCAAGGATGTTATTTATATGTATATTGAAGTATAAAAAAGAATTTGAGACGCTTTACCGCACGCAGTGAAGCTGGTACAAATTTGAATCTGGAACAAAATAAAAAATTTCCTCTTAATCTACGTGATTGTGACTAGTGAAATACATATGGGATTTTAAAAATATTGCTCTTTGTGTTATTTGCGAGTATTTCAAGTGAAACATTCAATTTTCATCATTTGTTTATAAAAAATGTGTGAATTAACTTATCACTTCGAAACGTTGTTTTATAGATGTGGTTCAAATTTTAAATGAAAATATTGAAAATTGTTGGACTTATGCTGTGTGCTGTTTTGAAAAAATCGTGTTTTGAGAAAAACCCGTTTAAAGTTTTGAAATGAGTCATAAACATGAAAAATTAGAAATTCGACTTTTAATATTTTAACCATTAATCTACTATCCCAGGACGATAAAGCTACCCTTCCACTTTCATATATTCCTCCTCATTTTCTATCCTCGACGATTTAATGCTAAAGCCTGCCTCTTTTACTGCATCTGTCAAAGACAGCTCGGCATGTTTGATGTGTTTCAGTCTCGGCTCAGTTCTTCATATATTGGCTTGATGGCGTCAAAAACTTTCTTTGAAAGTGGCAGCTTATGTTAGAAGGTGTCCAAGGAATTCGCTGCTTGCGGGTTCTTCCAGCCACATCGAGACACACTTCTTGTGCTGCAGATTTCTGTTGGTTGATAGTTGAAATAAGGTTGCCCAGATTTCATTTTTTATATTATCTAGGAAGTTCGGATTTCAACGTATTGCCAAACTATAATAAATTGTCAATTTTTCAATTAATTTTATAATTAATTTACCTTTTCATCTGAGATCTTTCACTTTTTTCTTAATATTTCTCAATCGGGTGCCCATGCCAATACATTTTTTCTGTTGTACTTTGAAATTTTCATACCGGTTATTATCTATTATGCCTTTGAAGGTTTTGCTGTCACCATATTCATCGATATAGTTTGTGTATTTGAGGCCATGCAAAGTTTTGAAGCATGCAAACATCTCGACGACAGCGTCTACCTGCATCTTACCAGATGAGCCTTCATGGTTTGATTGACTTTTTTCCGTGTGTATTGTATACCACTCTTCATACTCAACTGTTCCTACTTTACTCTTCCAGTGCTCACTAGACTTACAGTACTTTGGTTTCACTTCAGTATCAACGATTTAATCCAGTTAATAACATGACTCAAAAAAGCGACATTAATCCTTATTTCGGGCATTTCGGGCAAACAATTACTATTTAGAAGCCTAAGCTCCGAGGATTTCTTTCATGAAAGGTTATGTCAGATTTTACACTTCATGTGTTGCTACATGGCATTGAAAATGGACAAAAAAATTAATAATTGTATAGACGAATTCATAATTAATATCGAAATTATCATCAGAAGCTTTTAATTTTTGGGCAGAAGCACTGACTCCTTTCGAATCACTCTCAACCTCGAATCTGTTCTCGGTTGTCTCAATGTTTAAAATCAGCGCTACACATAAAAAAACATAATTACAAGCTAAGAAATTATATCCTTTTCGAATGTGTACTGATCCTACACCAACATACTCTTGCTTAAAAATGCTTCTAACTGAATATATTATGTACATACTTTCTAACACCATCAGTTAGTGTATTAGAGAGGTTAGAAATCAATAGATAAGACATTGCGCTGTACCTTCCGAGCAGGTATTTACTTGACGCAGGTAGTTATATCAAAAACATCCGACATGCTTGGGGAAGCACATGAAATGTCAAAGAAAAACAGTTTTTTCACATATAAAGCTTTTTGCCCCGTATTTTAGAAGGTTCAAAGTATCTTTTAAGCTAAAAAGAATGATTTTTTGAAAATTTTACAGTTGTGTTATCCCTTAAGCAGTGGAACAGGTTACTGTGCAGATCAAACAAAGTTTCTGTTGCAAAAAAAAAAAATAGAAATAAAAAATCAAATTTACATAAATATGCATGATTTTTTAATAGAAAACATGTTGAGAATCGCTGACTTCACTGTAACAGTATGTAACTATAACATAGATTAACTATGCAGTGTTGTGCCGGTGTTACACAGAACTCTTAAACTGTATTTATACATATGTCCAGACTTTTTTCTTTTACTGGATCTACTTTTTTATCCACATTGGTAAATTTTTCTTATTTTTATGATTTTTAAAAATATTTGGTGTATAAGTACCCATAAGTGATACATTTATTTCTTTTTATTCATCCTTGCTAACATGCACAACAACAACAAACCATCGACAAATCCCTTGTGGATTTTAAAACACTCCTAAAATATCTGTCTCGCTGTCCAGATCTTTCATATTTTAAAGGATTAACCTATTAACTGAAATACCGGTCCCCTCAATGACATGATATTTGGCAAATATAAACTATTTTTAGGTATGTGGAGACCAAAATATCTGGCAAATTTTGACAACGGGACAGATTTTAAAAATCCCCTTCTAGTACTAGAAATTATAGGTACTTATTTCTACTTTTCTATCCCTTTTTGTCTTATGTGTTTGTTAAAATATTAGTAAAAAATTTGAACGTAGGTACTATAAATTTTATAACTGCAATCAGTACATAAATTATTCATAGAAAATAAAAATGGTAGAAGTCTCATTCATTTTTTTTTAATAAAAAATAAATCGTGCTTATTCAAAATTTTGACATTATTGTCATATGTGGCTCATTAAATCTTTATGTACTGTTCCAGAATGTTTTAAAGCTGCTTTTTATTAAACAGTACAGTGCTTACCTTTTATAATTTTTATTGCATGCACCATTTGGCTTACAGAGAACAATTTTCTTGCATTGCTTGGAAATGGAAATATTTCAACTATTGCATTGCATGTAAAATTGTGCTGATGTATTTATTTATTTGTACCAGGTGGTGTACCTTGTGGTGATACTTATGTATCACCTCGTATTTTCTCAGTTACCCTTCAAAATGTGAAAAACATACAACAGGGTTCGTAGCGGCCGGGAAAACCGGGAATACCGGGAAAAGTCAGGGAATTCGTTATTCTTCATAAAAAACAGGGAATAGTCAGGGAATTTTAAAAATATTCATGAAAGTCAGGGAATTTGATGTTTGCAACTGGAAATTTTGTGAAAGACGGTCCTGGGTTCTTGAAAGAAAAAACTATTTGTGGTTTTGAAACCTTTATAAGAGGTTCTTATGGTATAAAAAGATTATGGGCTCCAGTTGAGAAAAAATTTAATGCATAAACACCAATTAGTATGTAAAAATGAACTACAAGTGACCTGGATTTTATTTTGAAAGTCAGGGAAAACCTGGAAAAGTCAGGGAATTCATTCTTACTTTTGAACTATGAACCCTGTACAAAGGAAAAAAAGTTTATGAAACTTACATTTTTTTAATATCCATGTTGCAAAACAATTAAAAACATTACAAGATATAACCCCTACATGCTTTTTTTTAACGAGTCATTTTTATATTTTTGGATGGGATACTGCCAAATAATTACTAATAATCTCTCTAATACAATTCATTTAACAAGATTTGATTGTGTAAGAATATACAGGGCATTCCATTAAATAAAGTATATTATGTGTGTATTTCTATTATAAAATGCTCTTGCAACTTAGGTATTATTTTATATAAATGCAAAAATGTTTCTACTTTTATCATTACACTTTTGTCCCTAATATGAAAAACAATAAAGTAAATAGAAGGTGACACTTAGAACTGGCCATCTTATATAGGGTGTAACTTTAAGTGAGAGTCAGTTTTTTAAGGGTATATGTTCCCCTGAATACGAATCTGAAATTCTTTTTTATCAAATAAATAGTCGAATTATAGTTAGTTTTTTAAAATGCACTTTAATTCTTATATATGCCGTCACTGTAATATTCATGTATTACAAATACCGTCGGTTGCCAACAATTCATGTATTACAAATACATGAATTTTTGGCAACCGACAGTGCATGCGGAAGGAGATAGTGCAGATCAATGGCAACGAAGAGAAGGGGTCAGTTGTTGTTTCCCATAACATCTTACTGTGAATTTGAAGTTATATTTAAACAGAAAACAATTCGTTATTAAATTGCAAACGAACTCCGTATCCTGAGGTCCACAGAGTTAATGTGGCAGGTTACACATTTAATAGATTATGCATTTTGGATGGGATCAAATTCAGAGAAGTGTTATAAAATTCATGTGAGTAAACAGACTATTTATTTTTGTGTGTCTTTTATTATTATTATTGATTAGGTTACTTGATTTGTGTGGCATGCAGTTATTTGAGGTTATATTAGCTTGTCCAGCGGCGGGGTAGGGAAATTACTAAAAAAAAGGTTAAAAAAAAATTAGTTTTTACGATGGAATTTGACAAAATAATATATTGACAGGTGTTTTTAAAAGTCAAAGGAAGCCTCTGTATAAATATGACCACCACTCAAAGTTACAACCTTTATAATAAAAAATAATGAAAAATATTGCTTATCTCAGAAACAAACCATTCATTTTTACTCACAATTTTAAATTTTACAGATTTATATCTAATACATGCATTTCTCTATATGTTCACATTAACATATATGAATTATTTAAAAAATGCCCTTAGAAGTTAATATTAATGAATTGTACGTATGTAATTATTATTATTAATATTTTATAAAAAAATCTTTAATCGACATCAACAATCCAACAGTTATTAATTCTTTTACTTCTTCACCTGCATTGATATGGGTAAATACATCGCTTCGTTTCTGTTATTCCATGATAGCTCAAGCCTCTATATTTTCACCGATAATTTTTGTACTTAAGGGGGTCCTCTAGTTTCTCGGTTGTTTTTTTTACAGCTTTTTCAAAAATTTTTTATGGGCAAACCATCGATATAATAAATCTCATTGTTTTTACATAATCTTTATTAACATTTAAATGAGCTTTACAAATTTTTTGAACACAAAATATATAATAGAATCAAAGTTATAGTGGCCGACAGGAAGACATTAAGTGAAGGAGGTGCTTGACGGTGACCAAGATTGCGGCTGTTTTGCTTATCTGAAATCAAAAATCCAAACGGCATTTTAAACTTCATATTTAAGACTAGCGATTGAACTAGAATGAATTCTAAATTACAAAAATTTATTTTTTTATACACTTTTGAAAATTAAATTCTATTTTTTTACTCATTTTTTCTTTAGTTTCTCGCTCGTAGAAAAAAAACTATCGAAGCAATCATGATAATCCTAGTTCAATCGCTGGCTTATAATATATTAAAGATGTTGTATAAATTTGAACAAGATCGGTGCAGTAGTTTCTGAAATATCGTGGTCACCGTTTTGAAAAATAGTGTTTTGAGAAAAACGCGTTTCAAAGTTCGCGCATGTGATTTATAATAAAAATTTCATCTCACCGTCAATCTGCTATGCCTGGACCATACAGTAGGCCTTCCTCTTCTTCTTGGAAGTCACTCAGAGCTGCTCCGTCTTCCCTTTTCGCGATTCGGTTAGATTTAGGGATATCAATATAATGGTCAGCGCCGCTGGGCTTTGCGAAGTAACGTTGCGCGTGCTCCGTATACCTGCTCCATTCCAGGGCCGTAACTTGTTAATCACTTCGAATATCGAAAAATCCTTTGGCACACATTTTCTACACATGTTGTAGATGTGATTTATGAAAAAAAAAAAAATTCGATATTTTCGACCCGAGAAACTAGAGGACCCCCTTAAGGGCGCCATATTCTTTAAATTGTGTTTTCCACAAAGACAAATAATTTCAAACATTTAATAACTGAATAATCTAAAGCTTATCAAATAATAGGAATGTTATGTCATGCCATCACGGTATTTTCAAAGACGCCGCAGTAAAACGAATAAACAAGTGCAAAAAACGATCAAACCATCAAGGTTTTAGGTACCGAAATCTACGAAAGTACTAATTTTTTTTATATACAACTCCACATGAAAATATTCTTATAACATTTACTTGCTTAGTCCTACATACATATAACTTTTATTTATAAGTATGTTAAAAAATTCTTAAAATGTGGGGTTAGGATGACAGCAAACGCATGTTTTACAAATGTTTTTTTTTAGTTATTATTTTATCTGAGTAAATTTAAATAGTAACAATGAATAAACAGAACATCAAGGATTTTATTTGTGTGCTTACTTTTGTTCTACACGTTTTACTTTTCAAGATTTCAGTACCTAAAAACGCCAGAAATTTGACTATTTCTCGGCCAGGGATATGGCCACCTTAACCGTATTATCATGTACTAGCAATTTCCATTACAGTTTTAAATTGCTCCGTAATTATTAGCCATGTATATTATATTTTTTTTTATTTGACGTTTTGTAGTTGTTGAAAAACAATGATTATAAATTTACAATAAAAAATAGGTTATTTTTATATGTGAAGGGGTTAATTATATTTACTACTAATTAATTCCTAATATATCAATTATTTAGGTATTAATTTTCTAGAAAATTTCAAATAAAGTAAACTGAATAATCATAATCTCAGTGAATTTTAATATTAAGAAAATTTTTCACATCAAGCTTAAACATGACATAATTTTTTTTATCCATGTAATTTTTAGACATTTTCAGTAATTAAATAATTGTACATCGTTTCCTACCCTATTCATTTATTGTAATAGTGTGTATACAACTCTTCATAGTTTCTCGTTACTTATTAATTTTTTTTCAGTGTCGACGAGTTTATTCTGCTGACGGTCTTAGCAATACTTTACCGAAAAAACATGTCCCTTCTACCTCTAGCGCTCGAAGCAGAATTTCTTCGGCATCTTTGCACTGTTCATCCGAAGTATCTAGAATAATACGGAATACAGTGGCTCAGTTTGAAAGGAGAGGTGGTTTTGTTAGGATTTTCCCTGCCATCGATAGTTGGGCTAAATACTCTCAATACTTAGGTATGTCCCTTATCACCTAAATTAAAAGTTTTCAATGCTGTATAATGTCACATTACTGGTGACATATACCATTTGGTAGAGCAGTGAAATGAAACAGTATTTATTTTTGTATGAATTTCATAAAATAAAAAGTGTTGTAGAATCTGTATTATCCAAATGAAATATAAAACTGTACATCGGGGACTCTGGGTGGACATAGGAATTGGTTCGCTTCATTGTCTCCATCAAAATAATAAACAACAATCATATACAAAACCTTCATAAATGATAAAAGCCACATGACCAGTAATTTTGTTTGAAACAGTAATTTTATTTCCTCCACATTGGCAATTAAATTTCGGTGAAATCTAAAATTATTGAAATAGTAAGATCAAGATCATAAAACACAACATTCTGTTCTGATAATTAGTGTACTTTTTCACAAAATTTTATTCAACCAATCGGCGAATACATCTCGAGCATAGATGCAATGGTTTGTCATTGTTCATTGTAAACGAATCATTAATAGTGATGACGCTAAGATTTAGGGATTTTTAGTTGACAGTACCAGTCAAGGGGTTACTTAACTCGGCGGTAAAGTGGCTTGTAATCATTTATGAAGGTTCTGTATAAATGATTGAAAATAATATTTTTGAATATAATTAATTTTATAATATTTGCTATAATTATTAAATTAAGCTGAAAACAATACTTGTGTCAACATCTTTTATTTACAATTAAATACTGACTAAACCTTTGATTTATGTTATCATGAGGCGGTACATCAGTTGTGAGACTTTATATTATGGGTGGTGATGGTATGTCCAAAATTTTTTTATTCAACAAATATTTTGACTAAACAATTTAATACATATAATAAATGAAAGCAGGAATGTCTTTAAAATAGATTTTTTCTAGTTTATTGACGTAGTCAATTAGGTCTACAATTAAAATTTTTTTTTTTAGATTCTACGACTGGAATACCAATATCTGGCACAACATCGAGTTACAGTTTAAATGTCCCTCATAATTATAACCTGTTACTTTATATGCATCTGTTCCCAGATGTTCCTATTAATACCAAAGGCATTGAGAAATTACCACACAATCGGTATACATCGTTGGATCGTAATCGGGATAAAACTCCTGTCAGTGGTAAACAATCGAACGAAAGACTGGACAGGTATGAAAGAATGTTGAGTCAGGGCCACAAATCGGCTTTGGTTCCTTGTAAAATCACTCAAGAATCTCACAGTATTGAACTGAAAAAGAAAATCGTTGAAATGTTGAAAAATGGCAAAAAAATAACGTAAGTTGAGGTTTAAATTCTTTTTTAATAAACTAAAATACCAGGAGTTTATTCTAGGCAATGTGAGGCCAGGAAAACTTTTAGCCATTACTTGGTTTGTATTTTGAGAAAGATATCCAATGATCCAAGTCAGGAAGATCACGTAGAGATTGTTCTCAAATTTCTACAGAAGGCTTCCAATTATTTAAGAACACCGTTCAACGTAAAGGTATCTAAAAAATCACTAGTTTATTCTCATTGTTTGGTTTACATGATATTTTTTAGGCTCCTAGTCATAAGCTGAAGCCAAAAGATCGGGCTGCTATAATAGCTAAGCAGTTGAATGACTTCCTGTATTTGTACAATAGGGAAACAGATATGTTTGTTGATAAAACTGAAAAACCAAACCAAATACCAGCTGGTCTATACAATGAGTTTTTAGAACATGCCAGGTAAAATTCTCTTTATTTTTAGCTGAAAATAATTCACAGCAAAAAAGTTTTTGAAAGAAATTTTCTTTATTTTTTAAGATATATCAGAATTTTATTTTTTTTATTTGTTGAACAGTAGGTATCAAAATGTTCAATAGTACAGTGTACCCTTTCAACAATTTCTTTTTTTATATATCGATTCTGCAACTTTGTGTATAACTTAATATGATGACGAATGATATGTCAAAATTTGACTAACCTTTTTTTTGAAGTTACAACCAAAAACAGCAAAATCTGTTTTTTTTTATAAAAAAAAAAACGGAAATTTGCTATCCTGTCAGGCGTCGTGCATAAATATGTACTGAATTCTCCACAATAATGTTAAATGTTTGAGTTTAAGAAGTCCACCTCGTCCTCCTGTTTTCGATAAAAAACAAAATTATCAGGTTTTGTTAGATACTTAAAAAAAGATTGGTTAAATAATTCTTTGCCATGTTTATTTGCCATCAAAATTTGCAACTTTGGCTTAATTCGATCAACTTTATATATGTTAAGATAACCGAGAACTCCATGATGCAGCTTGAAAAATAAGCCCATATACAGGGTGATTCAGAACTTAACCAAAAAAAAAATATTTGGATGTACAGGGGGCTCTAACAAATACAATTTTGTAAAGAAAAAATCAAAAAGAACAGTTTGAAAATGATTTAAAAATACACTTCTGCACGGCACTGAAACCTGGTCCACTGTAAAATCTGACCTTGCACAATGTGGTCGGCACGGTGGCGTGATAAAAACAGACAAAAACTTGGAAGAATTTCACAAGGAAAGAAATAAATATAATTTTGTAGCACCTATTTTATATCAGCAAATTCAACTACTTTTGCCGCTATTTTTATTAATTAATAAGATTAATTTATGGTCTTAATAGGTAATAAAATAATTTGACATACCTCATGTTACAACTGTTCAAAATTTTGTCCACCGACGTATTAGCACATTAGGATCCGTCTTACTCAGTTTCTACAAACTAACACAAATGTTGTCTTGCTTCACCATAACACAAATGTTTCACTATAAATTAAAACGATATCCATCAACACTCAATTACTATACATGCAAGCCATTTTTGACACTAACTACAAAAAAAGATATTGTAAACACTATCACAACGATGATTGTAAAATCGGATTTCAGTATTCGGAGTCGCTGAGGCCACGTGGCTCTCCATGCGTATTGCAAATGACACTAGAGACTACAGTTGTCCAGCTATGTAATGGTTGAAAGTACTACAATTTCAATAATTTTTTTCTTGGAAACTATAAGGATTTTACGAAAATTTTTTTTACGATATTGACTCCATTTCTCATGCCGCATCTATTCCCAAATTTTCTTGGATAAGTTGTGAATCACCCTGTATACCGTGCTTTCACCGAACAACGCTACATAGGGAATTAGCGTTGTTCGAGTTCGTAAATTCGGAAGGGTGGGGAGTGATGTGAGATGTGATTACGTACGCCACAGCGCCGCACGGTCGCGCACACTGAGATCGACATCCCCACCGCTGAAGCCGCACGAGTTTGACCGACGCACCTCCTATGTAGTGTTTTCCCGTGAAAGCACGGTATATGTATATATAAAGGGTGTTCCGAAATTCATGCAAGAAATAATTTTTATAGAAAACACAGGTTTTTAATTAAAAATTGTAAATTTTTTATTGATTCATAATGTATGGAATAGCCACGGCTTTGCTGGCACTTATTTTCCTCCTTCAGGGTGTGGGTGGTCGCGCACTTGTTGGCATAAACTTTAAACTTCAAAATAACTCCAAAGAAAAATTTTCAACGGTGTTAAATCCCATGATCTGGGTGGTCAATTCTGATCACCAAAACAGGAAAATTATGCGACCAGGAAATTACTCATACAGTAATTGAATTGTTTCTCGGGCTGTATGGCATATGACACCATCCCATATTTTGCAATTTAGACACAAAAACTGGATTATCGAATCGAGATAGCGAGCATTATTAACTGTTATTGTTTGACCAGCGAATTTTCGAAGAAGAATGGTCCGATGATTTGTTCAGCCCAAAAATCACTACAAACAGTAACACATTGTAGATGCATTTTGACAATTTTGTCGATTAATGAAGCCATCAAGATGAAAATGAGCTTTATCGCTGAGGATGATACTGGTTTAAAAATCAACATCCACTTGTCCCACAATCCATTCAACGAACTCTCTTCATTCTGTGTGATCAGTAGGCTTCAGTTCTTGAGTTCTTGAAATTTGTAAGCATAAAGATGCAAATATTTCGTGAGAATTGATGTTACTGGACTCTCAGCAACATTCTCAGGAACTGCTTGGATGTGTTGATTTGAACAACTTATTTTCAATCAATCTCTTCACAGTTGATGAATTAAATCACTGTTCTGACCATATTTTGTACAAATATTGTGAACTATAGCTGCCAAATCTTCATTATTTAAAAAAATATTGCTCAACAATGAACATACATTCTTCATATAGCGCATTGACCTAGTAAACTATGGACTGGCCCTAGAAAGAGAGGTGAATCGTGCAGATGAAGCTAGTGGAGGCAAATACTGTTAAAACAAATGATGGTACGGGTATACCGATACAAAATACCGTAAACCAACTTTGAAATAAATGTCATGTATTGACATTACCGATTGATTTCTTGAATTTTTGTGTGATTTAGTTAGTGTATGTGAAAGATTTGTAAAAACTAAATATGGTGCGATCGTGTTCTGCGATAAATTGCGTAAAGAGACGTTTAAGTGAAAAAAAATTAAATTTCATAGGGAGGAAAGAAGTTATGATGGTACCAACATGTTTATACTCTTCAAATTATTTTTTAACATCAAACCGAATATGTATAAAGAAAAAGTTTTAACTAAAATGTGCTTATAATGTGCTTCAGCAAAAATTCTCTTCAAATAATATGTTGAACGAAGAAAGCTTGCAGTAATGTTAACCGATCGAGCTTACGATATGAGGAAAATAAATGGAGAAATACATAAAAAAGGCATTATAAAAACTATTTGGAATATTATAGCTAAAACAATTCAAATATTGTACTGTAATTAGGACAGTACCTTTTTACATACCCTTTTACATACCTACACTATTGGCAAAAATGAAAATTTTTTGTCTTCTAGTCTATATTATTTTTATATGTCTTACGACCCAAAAGAAAAAAGGGGTAAGCGATCGAGTATAGCTAGCTGATTGGTTGAATTAAATGTAGCACGCTACAGTCGAAATTCTGTAAACGAAGCTTAAGCCCTTACGAGCTCTATCTTTCTCGTACACGTCTGAGTGATTGCCATTTATATAGGCAAAATGACAGTTGGGCGAGTCCAGTAGTTTATAAGGTCTATCGTATAGCACTCCATTTTTGGAGATACATGACTAGGAATAATTGGCTAATCTTGAAATTTTAATTTGGGTGGTTAAAATAAGAAAAAAATCTTTTAAAGGAATGTCCATAAGCTCTATGTTTTCAAGATATGGGTTTAAGAAATGAAACTAAGGCTAGTGATTAATTTAATTAAAATCATCCTCACACTAGCAATATTTCCAAAGCAATTGTTTAATCCTTAATTCCTTTTTTGTATCTTATTTTGACCATTAGAATTCAAATTGTGTTTGCCCAATTAATTCTGAAACACGCTGTGTTCAATTAATTACATTATTTGTTATTACAGAGAATGCGATTTAGAGGAAGTATTAATCTATCAAACAACTCAAACAGTGCCAAGTTACGCTGCAACGCCTGGCTTTCAAGGTATATTAAAGTGTATTCCTAATGTTTCAAAATATTATGGTCTTAAACCGCCCTATAAGTCAAATAAAAGTAAAGGATTAAAAGTTTCGTCAGTGTCTTGATTTTGTTGTTCTCTTAGTCTATCATAAGTTTGAAATGACGCCTTTTCTTTAATTTATACCATATCCCTGTTGTTTAATAGTTACAGTCACACCTTAACAAGAAATATATAATTAAATATATTATGTACTTACCTGTATAAAATGTTAATTTCTATTAGTTGTGTGATACTTTGACGTGGTTCACTTAATAATTTGAGCAGATCAACAACCTTTTCTGTGATACATGTAGCTTGTAGCAAATTAGCACAAATTTACCGACAAACTTTAACAAGTTAGACATTATTACAGACCATGTAAATAATTTACATTCTAATAAGCCTCATTATTTAATATTTAATAAAATGAAAACGTGAGTTTTCATGTACATAGGTATGTTTTTGGTTATGGTTATATTATTTAAAGTATTTTATTTTGCGTTGTTATTTCAGTATTTTATATTTAAACAATTTTAAAGAACGTGAAACTATTTGGTTTTGTTATAACAATTTTCAGAACTACTCATTTTTTTGCTCAATATATCAAAAAAGTTTACCAAAGTTATAGAGATTTTATTTCAAACTGCCATAGTTTAGTTTATTTTTTTGTTTAAAGTACAATTTTATATATTTTATTTTGTAATGGTTGTAAAAATTTATATATCATATAGTGTGATTGTTGATTCTGTTAAATTCTAACACCTTAATTTACAGTATTTAATATTATAGGACTTTGGCAAAACTGTGATCTTATTAATCTGATCAATAGGATCATTGATCCTTTTGATCTCAGATCATAGTTTCTGAAAATCTGCGAAAATCTACAAACAAATATAACTTAATATTTTAGTTAATTTATAGTTGAAGACAAATAAATGCAGGATTATAAAATGATCATATGGATGTTAAAATTATTATTTTTTTTCCATTTGTTATATTTGCTTTTTCATTTTAATTTTTTTATATAAAGTTGTCAATATGCAATTCCATCATAGTGCATATAGTAGATTTCAGGTATTCACATCATCAGATGCATCAGTAATAGCCAAAAAGATAAACCTTCATGCTTTAATGCAGTCTTCATAAATGATTACAAGCCTCTTGACCGCCAAGCTTAGACAACCGACATTGCAATATTAATGGTTCGTTTACAATGAATAATGACAAACTGTTGCGTCTGCGTTCAAGATAATGCGATCGCCAATTGGATGAATAAAATATCTTGAAAAATTACACCAATCACCAGCTGGTGAAACAGAATGTTTTGTTTTAAGGTTAGTTGTTGTTTTAAGGTTAAGGTTATAGTTTTAATAATTTTTAATTTTATCAAAATTTAATTGCCAACGCAAAGGAAATAAAATTAATGTTTCAAACAAAATTACTGGTCACATGGCTTGTAACTATTTATGAAGGCTCTGTAGTAAATAGTAACTACAGTTTATCATTACAAAGTCATCATCATATCATTACAAAAATAAAAATATACCAATATAGAAACATTTTAAATATTAATATCTGAACTATTTATTGTCTACAAGAGTAACAGAGCATTATGTGACTTTCTAAAGTACCTAACACTTTATTTCTTTGTGATAAAATATTCATATAGAGTCGAAGGCTTATTTTTTATTTTAAATGTGACTAATTATTGAAATTCCATATAAGTGACATATTCCATAATCTTTTTAAATACGTATAGTATTGTCACTTATTGGCCATATAGTGGTATAATCAGAAAAAAATTTGGTAGCCAAAATGTAGCAAGTGAAATGTCTTCCAAAAGACGAAAGAAACCTCCATAATAATTTAAAAATTAGACTTTTTGTGTTAATTTGGGAACATAATTTCTTATTTCCACGATGGCTCTAAGGCGTAGGGAACTATGTTTCGTTGGTGTTACCCTGGCTGTGCCGTTGGACAGTAGCAAGTTGATCATTTCCAATAATCAATATTATTTATGACATTAACAGAGTTCAAATTGTTTTTTAAAAATTAATAAAAGGTAAATAGTAAACTATTTATCATCTTTTTGTTTAAACAAATTATGCAGATATAAACACACTTTCTTCTTAAAATCTGGCTGAAAATAATGGTATACAAAATTAATTAGTATGGCTGATTTTTATATGATAATTTGTTCACAGTGGTTTCTGAATAATCTGATGAATATCTGAAAAAAATAAGGAAATTTATCTTTTAGTAATATATTTTGTTTTAAATAATTTAAAGAGGTCTGAAGGTATTACAAAAAATCAATAATATAATCTTTTTAGTTTTATTGAATATCTTGCGATCAATTTTATTGATTTTCACTTTAAATATTAGTTATCCAAATAAATAGAGCTCATAAAAATAGTTTAAAATTTCCATAATAATCAAATATTTATTATCATTTTGTAGCAAATTACTACTACCTATATTTTAAGTAAAAAGTTTCTATAAATATGAGTGAAAAAAATGCTTAGTGAAATAGTTTTGAAGATAAACATTTTTTAAATAATTTGACAATTGTTAATTATAACCAAATTGAACCCAAGGTGGAGCTGCGAGGGGTAAACTTGGGTTTTTAATCTTAAAAAAATTGTCGATGGTTTTATTGAAAAATTACATAATTTTCCTGAACGAGCATCTTAAAAACCACAAAAATTGTTCTCTTGTTCGCTATCAATAATCTGGCACCATTTCTGAAAAAATTGGCAATAAAAATTTTGATGCACTTTGGAGATGTAGATTCTAAAATATAAAAGTGCCGTAGATTGCATTCAACTTCTACCGACACATTATATTCATTAAAATAAAGAGAAAACAAAATTCTTATTAGTTTTTAAGTTTGCACTTTTATTATTAGCTTTCAAGTATCAACAGGCCTTAAATATGGCTTTAAAGATTTGACCATCAATTTTTTCAGTAACCTTTAAAATTTCTTAGAGATCCATGATAGTTTTGATTTTCAGTCTACAGGGCTGGAAAATCCACATGGTCCATCTGCCTTTACATGAGAGCGACAAAGTAAAGTAAAGAAATCCGTGTGATAGACAAGGATGGCTATAGTGAAGACGTTTCATAATCTGAATAGTCACGGCCCGTTTCGGGTTAGAAGTGGGAGTGAAACGTCTTCAATGTAACCATCCTTGTCTTTCGCACGGATTTCTGACTTACTTTATCACTCTCACGTAATGGCCGATGTACCATGGGGACTTTCCGAACCTGTATATACCAAGTTTAAAATTCAAAAATGCTTATTTCCAATCTCCTTGGAAATTTTAATCTTAAGAGTATCATTTGGATCTCATCAGCCATTTTGGATGATTTAAATAAACGTGTTTTTGGAGTGCATCTATATTACTCAGTAACTTTTCTACTAAGCGTTTTCATACCCATATCCATATAGAACGTTTTGTTTAAAACAGTATTTCCCATCTCTTGCTTCAGTGAGGCACTTTATTTTAGATTCAAATTTAGTTCAAATACAATACAATCACAATACTTGAGTTGATTCTGTGAATTCTCTGAATATTTTTTTCATCATCAAATTTTTATATTATAGGAACTGGTGATATTGAAAGTATTTAATTATGTCCTATTAATAATACTCTACTGTTTTTTTGTTTATAAGATTTGAGTAATATGTTAACAAAATTGATTAGGTTATATGTACAGACTGATTTTTTATGGGAATAATGTTAAATCAAATTTTTTGTTATTTTATTTCCAAATTTGACTCTTTTTCTTTTGATCATTTAAGAGGTGAACACCTTTCTTTTAAAAAAGCATGCTGTACATATATGAAAACTATGATCTCGCCAAAAAAACTAAAATTGAAAAAAATTGTATTTTCATTAATAAACTTATGCAGCTACTGTTTAAATGTAAATATAAATTTCATAGTGTAGTAAAAATTAAAGAACACAATATGTACAAGATTATAGTAAATCTTATTACTAGTTACCAATAGCAAATGTTTTAACAAACATTCAAATTAAATTTTGGAAATATTTCTTCATTTTTGAAAATGTTTCAATTTCTTCGTACTATTCATATTCATATTAATATATCTAAAATGATTTTTATTTCGAATTATTGTGGGTCATCAAGTCATGGGATAAATTCTTGTGAAAAATGACAATTTTAGTAATTTATTGCTAGATTAGCTCCCAATCAACTTCATATATATTATTTTTATATATAGGAATTTATATCATTGACTTGAAAAAGAAATAAGGTATTTTGGTATTAAAACATTAGATAGTAAAAAAATTTTGTCCTAATTGCAGTGTAAATGGCTTTTATCCAACATTTTGCTATTTCCTATTTAAATCTTTGGACTAAATTTACATGTTGCTGCCAAAACTTGTGAGATATTTTTAATACAATCTTGGGGTAGCTTAGAAATTAAATAATGGTAGACTAGGTAGTATATTTTTTGCACTATTAAAAGAATTACACATTACGTGATATAAAGCTTGAGCTGTTTTTATATATTTGAAGTGTAGCTAAATTCAAGTTTTCGAGGGGCTTATGTGGATTAGGAATGCTTTTGGCTAGTTTACTGTAAGTTATTTGGAAAATTTGAAATTTATTGTTAGAGATTTGCTGTGGCTTTATTGTTATACACAACTGCATCGACTTTTTCTACAAAACGCCTCCTTAATAAATAAGCTTTTATTTAATATTTATTTTTGTGGTGATACATTTTAGTCAATTGCTTAAGTTACATTCTAAAGTTATTTATTCATGGTACAACTTAAGTACTTTTTTCTATATTAAAGTTATTAATTAATGTATGTAGTGATAGTAAATATGTTTTTGTATTATTTTTGCACTGGTACATAATATTGTTGTATTTAAAAAGCTATATAAAAAATAAAATTATGCACATTATAATTGATTTTAATTTCTCATGTGACGTATGTAGTCTTTTAAGGAATTTTCTCAGGTTTGCCATAAATAAAACTTACCATGGAGCAAATCATATTGAGAGTTGAATTGAATAGGATGTTTCAAACTGGATGTGCATATACTGCTATCTAGAAATCCTTAGAAACAGAGAAATTGGAGCATAGTTTCGTAATTTAGCATGCATTCATTTCTAAGAGAGATATCAATAATATACAAGGTAGAGATGGTCAATGGGAAATTTTCCGTCCCGGAAAGTTTCCAAAACGGAAATTTTCCGGGAAGAAATAATCGAAGCTTGAGAAATTTTCCCTGGAAAGTTTCTGAAAAAATTTCCGTCGGAAATTTTCCGGTAATATTTCTAACAATTTGTAAACTTGGAGCCAATTTTACTTCTAACTTCTATGAACATAAACAAAAAATCGTTGGTTAATTTCGGATTTTCCGTTAATTCGGAATACCATAAGACCATATTATCCAAATAAGTTAGAAAACACTTACACTTACTTATTTTAATCTTTGTTAAGTCTACAATCTACATAATAGAGAGCAATACAAGACTCATAAATTGC